TGAAACAATGTTTACTAAAGAAGTGGCAGGTTAAAGGTAGAGACAGACAGTGTACTTGGTGCCCAACCTCAAACAAAGACAACAGCAATGTCATGGAGTCCTGGCAATCTTCTGCTAATGAACATTAAGCCATGATCTAGTTTACTGCATGTGAGTAACTTGGGAGTTCACACACTTTGAATTACTTTTGGAATTTAAAAGATGAAGATGTTTCCTACATTTGAGAGGCAGAACATAGGAAAGAGAAAGCTACATCTTCCTTAGAACCTTCCTCTTATCCCACTAACTCTATCTTTAGGGGAGTGGTTGCTTAATTGTGGTGTTAAAAAATAAAAAAAAAAAAACAAAACAAGGCATCTTTAATTGTGAAAACATATTTTTAAGCCTTACATGTTCATATATATATGAATACTATGGAGTTTTAAAAATATTTAAAAGATTTATATTTCAGCCTGAAATCTGGTTGGTAAGGGCAAACAGAAATGATGCAAATTGCCTAGGTGTTTGTAGCAAAAACTGAAGGTGTAGTAATTATCAAAGGAATCAAACAGGTAGGGAGATGTCTTACTATTATCAAACAGCAATACTGTTTGGGAAGTTAATTTCATCATGTGTTTTAGATAACATTGTCAGATGTTACAGGTGGAATTTGGACCATGTCAAGAATAATGTTTAGTACAGAGCATAAGGTTGTTGAAGAGCTATGTTCTACTTAAGCTTTTTGGATTTTAAAGAGTTATTGGGAAATGTAAGAAAACTTAGTACTATTATTATTAGATATTATAGGCAAAGGATGATAATGCTCTTTAGATTTCTTATGAAATGGGTCCTAAATTAAAAGGCTACATTTATTTTCAGGAAAATAAATAAAGCAAATATATTTCAAATTAAGTCAATTATTTCATATTAAAAAGCAGGAGAAGGAAAACAACTAAGTTTTCCACATTACTGATTTTACTAGCTTATAGAACTGATTAGTTTGACAAAATTATAACTCAAACTATGACACAATGAAGATGGAATTATGGCAGTTGACATTTCTGAATACCTGTACATACTATATGGATATATTTCCTGTGCCTATTAATTGCAAAGGAGTTGGGTAAGGTTTAATTATGGAGCTCTAGCTTACACTCATATAGCTAGCAAATGACCAAGAAGTGGGCATAGTTCTAGGTTAGCCCTTTGTATACATCATTAAGTCCATCAGTATAGTCGGGAATAAGTTAGAAGTCACAAGTTAATGCACAATGGCTATATAAAAAATATCTTATTTCATACCTGTTCAGGGGTAAAAATTAAAGTTGAGTGTGAAAAAATGCAAGGGAAAAGGACCACGTAACTAACGGTGCCATGTTTTTAAACAATGGAAACAAAATAGTTCCACAAAATAATTGATGCTGGCCATAATCATCTCTTAAGATGCAAATGGTTTTTCTAACTTTTGTGGAGGGAATCTATCATTAAGTAAAAATAAATTCTGCTTCAGTAACATTCAAGTATTTCATGATATAGAGCCTGTATTCTTAAGTTTTCATTTTACTCTAGAGCAACCCACAGAACATGACCTGCAGAATGGAGATAAAGGTTATAATGACTCGATGGGAATGGAGTCATTGTAGCTGGAAATCTTAGAGTAAAAGATTCAGAGATGAGGTAACTTTCATTTGGTCATGTCATGCTTTTCTGGGAATGTTTTTCTTTCTAGGCTTAGCCTTAAATAGTAAATCCTGGTGTTTAGACATCTAAACTATGGATAGAGATCAAGATCAAGAATATCAAATGCTTTTAGGCAGTTGCAAAACAAGGGCCATAATAAAACTCAGCCCTGAAGATGACGGACTTTATTTACCCATAGTCGAAATGAAATTAGAAAATTTTCATTATCTTGAAAATTAAACTGTACTGGTAGAAAACTGTAACTACTATCAAATTAGTCCTTTAATTAAAAAAAAAGGATTTGATATGGTTGTATCCAATGTTCCAGGGGCCATTAAAAAGAACTTATGACATTGGTCTTGGCTGCATCCATTCATCAATCTCTCACAGTTGGTACAACCACCACAGAAGAGAATTTTCCTTGAGTATTCTATATGGGAGATGTTAAAAATATTTTTATTGTGATTATATCTGTGGAAAAAATGGTTTTGAAAGCTTTTTCAATAAACAAATGTACATATCAATTTAAAACAAATGAATTGCTAACAGTTGGCCTAGGTTATATAATTATTAATTTTAAAATAATATCATTTTCTAGAACTTATCTCACTCAAATTGTGCATAAATAATGCCTTGCATAGATCAAACCTCAAGAATGAAATTTATATATCCCACGGGTATCTGATGGCCCTCTACTTAGCAGACAGTAGATTCACACTACTCCTTGGTTATACCTTTCTTGAATTATATACAGTTTTTCATTACCCCTCCCCAGGTACTATTAAATCTTAACATATTTTCTTATGCTGCTAGTAGGTACTCAGAAATACTTGTTGAATAAAATCAGACATATTGATTGGGGTAATTTTACATCAAAGTTTGCAGTATAAAACAATGAAAGAGTGCTTAACTGTTTGTAGACTCTTTTATAGGGAAGGAAATAATATTCCATTCATTGTGTTGCAAAGTTCAGAACAGGGAACAGACCATTGTTCTGAATTCATATAAAATGTGCTTCTATGCTGTAGTTCAAAAAGGGCAAGATGTCACAGGACAGGGAAAACCAGCTTGGAAATAAAGAGAAACAAAGTTGTTAAGTAAAGGGAATGATAAAACCATGAGAAGTTTCTCAATGTCACTCAGGAGACCCACAGCCAGAGGACAAATGTGACAGTCAACTCTCTATCAGGAGACACTGTGGGCTTTCCTCAGTACAGCCCACAGACCTGGGGACCATCAGAGCAATGCAGCTACATATTATTGTAAATTAGACAGCCACAGAGAAATATAGGAGAGATGAAATCCCTGTGTGGCAGACTGAGGAAGACTTTACAGAAACAATGTAAGTCTTGATGGTTGTCACATGTCTGGGTCTAGAGTCAGAGTGGAGAAACTCTGCCAGAAAAGGTGATGCTATGCAAAGACTGGTGTAGCTGGAGCTTAACAGCAGCATAGCAAGTTGACAAATTAAAGGATAACTGTTAAGGATGTAGCCCAAGATTTTTTTTCTTAATAAAAGTGTTTTGTTTTTGTTTTTGTTTTTTTATCAAAGCCCATTTGGAAATTCCAATGTGTAGATTCGTGACGATTGACTGGAAGTTCCTCAATAGGCTTCAGTGAGGAAATAGCAGAAGCAGATCCTTTGGCTAAAAAGAGGAACAAGAATGTGAAAACTTTGACTGCTGGAAGAAGCAAGGTACTGTGCAGCAGGTAAAGCAGTACGATTTCCTCATGCATAAAATGAGAGAAGCCGAGAGTCCTGGTTGGTCCTTATTTCAATGCCTATTTTAAATGTGCTAAAGAATTTACTGTTTAAGGACACACCATAGTCAGTTCTCTTTTTAACTTAGAGAATTTATTGTTAATTTAGAGAAATTATTGTATAATATACATATGTGTATATACTATATATATAATATGACTGGAACTGATATCAATGATTCAATCATAACAAACAGTAACTGGCTTTTCTTGAATTTACCAATGGTGTGAACTTGGTATGTATACATATATGAGCTTTTTTTAAACTAACGAATGTCCAGTAACTGATTTCCGTAAAGACCTATTATCTGTGTTTCAAATTAATATTTTAAGTAGAAATGACAAAGTGAATTACATGTCTTATCATCACTGTACCTGGTTGCATTATTTTAAGCAAGTGTTAGGATTTCCTGAAGCAACTCACTTAGAATTGGGTTGTAGGCACTCAAAACTCTTTCCACCTGAGACTTGTCTATTTCTAAAGCATCTCTTTCAGATTCAGAGGCACTAAAATTATTTTCCACCTGAGATTCACTACCTACATTTCCCAAAACAAAACAACAAAAAAAACCCACTATGCCCAAGAAGGGAAAGCTATTTGCCCCTCCCCTTCTTCCCACTTCCTCCATCCTTCCGTCCTCCCTTTCTCACATTTTCTCTCCTTCCCTTCCAGTCTTCTTTGATAAAATGCTAAGAAGAAGAGGGGACAGGGAAACATTTTTCAGAAAAGATGCTGTCATACCAGCAAGGACACAGAACTACCAAGGGTGACTGACTTTGCAAGGTCCGTCAACAATAGGGATCCCAAGGGGAGAACAGACCTTCTGATTTCTGATATTCACAGGACCTGATCTGAAGGTGTCTTCTCCATCAAACCCATCCTCAATAGTGTCACTGCAACTGTATGGCTATTTGTTAGCTCCATCATAAATCTGCTTCCAACCACAGTTTGCCTAGTTTCAAACACCTCAACATATTTCAGCTCCCTTTCTATTATTCTGTTCTGTTTTGTTGGTTTGTTCTTTTATTTTTGTTTTTTTGCATAAAAACTCTTTGAAAATATGTTTCAGGTTATGAATCTTCTCACAAAATGATTACATTCTTGGCTGCCATTTTCAAGGTTCAGTTTCGGGAGATCAAAAAACTATCTAGAAGTAACATGTATGATTTATTGTTAAAGGTAGGGGTGTTTTCTCCCACTAAGGAGATTTCTTAGATGTTAGATGCAAAAGTTAAAAATTCTCACCTGAATACTATGAAATAACATAATGAGATAGAGTTTACTCACACAATCAGTTTTAGTCCTTTTAAACTATGTAAACTCTCAAAGAAAATGTGAGTACATAAAACACTTAAAAACTCTACTTAGGCATTACAAAGAAAAAAATCAGCATCTCCCAAGTTTTCCCATAAGTTCATACAATGTGTATGTATACCTGCAATAGCTTCATACAATGTGGTACATGTACATGTAAGGCTTTCAAAAGAACATTATAAAGACACAAGACCTGACTGTCCTAACCAAGACAAAAAGACATAGCACAAAATTCAATTTTTGTTAGGAAAACCAAACAAAGACATCACTTTTTATGAAAGAGAAGAGGCTTCACCATGCCTGCCAAGATCTTGGGTAACTGTGCAGCAATTACTTCAGACATCATTTCTGGAAATTCCACAGCTAGTGTCCGAGACTGGATGAATGTATTCAGGCAGTATAGATGGAGCTGTTTCACAAGCTGTTGGTTTAACAAGTGGGTAGATAATGTGAGAAAAACAATTAGCCCACACACTGTTCAAAAGGGATAAATTATCTTTTTAACACTGGAAAACCAACGCTCCACTCTCTAGCATAATAGGAAAAATGTTTTATACTCATGATGGAGCATGCTGATAATATGGTATTTCAGAGATTTGTTTATTTTTATCTTATATGCATGAGTGCCTGCATTTAGGTATGTGCACCACTTGCATGCAATGCCCATGGTAGACAGCAGATGGCATCAGATCCACTGAACTGGGGTTACAGGTAGTTATGAGCTGCCATGAGGGTACTGAGAACAGAACCCAGGTCTTCTACAAAGAGCAAGGGCTCTTAAGTGTAGAGTCATTTCTCCAGCCCCAACTGTGTAATGTTTTAAAGTAATGGAAATTTGCTACATTCCAATGTTCTTTAAATTTTGATTTAATTTTCAACCCCTTTTGTTTTAATGCATGCATGCACATATACACATAGTTTTGCAAATGTGTAAAGGTATACATTTTCAAAATGCAATTATTTCATAAATCCTATTTGTTAAGCAGACTTTTTCTCACAATTTATAGATTCTATTCTATAACCCAACATAAATCATAGAACTCAGGGCCTCCGGCATGTGACCTAAGGACTGTACCACTGAGTAATAATATAGCCAGTTTCTCTTTAATCCTATACTTTTTATTTTGAGATAGGATCTTGATAAGTGACCCAGACTACTGAAAACTTTCCCTGTAGTTCAGAGACTACAAATTCTGTGAATTTGTGAGCTTCCTGCATTGGCCTCTGAAACATTGGGGAGTACAGGCCTATATCAACAGGTTCAACTTCTAGCTTAATCAAATATATTATGTACACAAGTTTAAAAGTCTCATACTATGCAAGATGCATCACAAAAGAACAACAGAACCAAACCCCAGGAGTTCCTCACTAGGCATCTTCCTGCTGTTATATTCCAATTTTTTGCTAAGTCAATATCCTACATTTTTATTAGAAATATTGGTATTGTTTCCTCATGTAGGCTATTTCATTTCATTCACTGCCTATTTTTATTTTGCAGAATCTGATTACCTGTGTCTTATTTCTTTTATTTTTCTCTCCATTTGGCACAAAGCTAAAATCAACTTCTCTGACAGGATTGTGGAAACCACATCAACATGATTGTGCATATTAGAAACCCCCCTAGCTCCATTTTCACCCTGGAGGTGGTGTAGAGAGTCGAGTGCTGTCTTACTGGTCACAGCAAGAACAGAGCAATAAGCAGAGGCTTCTTATTGATTCCCCCCCAGTTGTTATGTTGAGACATCACCACACTTCCCTCCTGGCTTGAATCTTCTTTGCCTACAGCTTGTTGTTCAACAGGAACACATCCTAATGTAGTTCCCAGCGACAGTTATATTTGAGATGTCCTCTGCAGCACTTTGATGGGGGCATTGCAGTTGCTGGTGTTTGGTGGTTTTCCTTTCATTGGGGTTCTAAAGATACCACTCAGGCATTGTCACAGATCCAGTGTCATTCAGAATGCTGGCGGTTTGCATATGAGTTGTTTCTTTTTCATTGGTATGCTTAGGATATTCTTCTTATTCTTGGTATGATGAGCTATTAGAGTGTACCTTGGATGAATTGCACAGTGCCCGTACTCTATTCCTTTACATTTAGAAAACTCACATCTTCAGCAAAGAGAAGTGACATGAGGATGGAAACCTGTTACCAGCTGACGGTCAGTATGGGCTACATAGCAAAGCTACATTTCAAAGCTGAGAAAGAAAAGTAAGAAAAAGAGAACTCATGCCGTTCTATTTGCATAGCTTTTACGATAATTCCCCTGCCTTTACTTTCCTAAATTTTTCTTCTGTAAATTCCTATGAACTTGAATTTGAGGATGAAATCTGATTTAGCATGTCTTAGGTTTTAATTATTTTCTACTGAGAATGCCTTTGTATTTCATGACTTTTGTTGAAGTTTGATTTCTTTGATTTTGTACTTAATTGTCTCAAAGTTTCATTTATTTATTGCTAAATGTTCATTCTTGAAGGCTCTCATTTCTTTCTTTGACACAGTACCATTGTGTTTCTTTGAGGCTCTGTGAATTTCTCTTCTGTCTTCTGAACTGGTGCTTTATCCTCCAGGTTTCTGTTTTTATTCTTATTTTATTCTCTACTTTTTATTGTAAATGTTTAATTCTGGTAGCTCATCATCTCCATAAAGTGTTTATAATTCAGGCTCACAAGCTGACCTGGTAAGTCACACACAACCACACCCACACACACCCCACATACCCCACACATGTTAAGTTTCATTAATCTAGCTCTGGTGTTGGACATTTCTGGGCTACTTATCACAGCAGAGTATAAAAACAATAACCCAGATTAATTTATGATTTCTTTATGCCTTTGAATGGAATATTGGAAATCATGAATCTCTTAATGATTGCCATCAGCAAGAGTATTTACAAATAAACAGCAAATGGCATAGGTGTATTATTTTCTATATTAATATTTTGAAACAAAAACATATTTTAGAACATATTCTGAAATAAAATGTGATAATTTTTCTTGGCCATTAAATTATCCTCAAGTGATATACATACTAGTAAAAAGATGATATAGTCTTTTAAAATCCAACTACAAACAAGAATTTGGGGAAACCACACTGTGTGAGGCGAACGTGATAACCACTACACTACCAAAACCAGCTGGGGAAACCGCACTGTGATGGTTAATCTTGGTCATCAACTTGACAAGATCTAGAATGATCCATAAGACAAGCTTTTGGGCACAGGTAAGAAGGATTATCTAGGTTCTAGGCATGCTGAGAGAGATTAGATTAATGGCACAATATCCCAGGCTTGGATCCTGGAATATCTAAAAAGAAAAAATGCTAACTGAGCCCCAGAGTCTACCACTTAATTATTCTAGAAATTAACAGAATTCTCACCAATAATCTGGAAAACAAAACACTTACATCATGCAAGCTGTCGAGAAATTTTGTAAGTTGATAGAAGCGCTGTGAACTGGGGACCACTCCTTTCTGCCTTAAGCCGATTGCCTTTATCAATTCCCGGATATAGCTTGACCTCATCTCTTCAAACTGGCTTTGGCTCCTCAGTCCTTCCAAAGGAACTATATAAAATAACAAGAAGTGGCAGTTACATTAAAAGTGGACACTAGCAAACCAGGTAGTGGTAAGGCATGCCTTTAATCCCAGCAGAGGCACAGAGATAGTTCTCTGGCCAAAATGTTACGTATTAAGATACATGAGATATGTTAAATACATTCACATAGATTCCATAGAAGTACCTTGCACTCTGTGGGACTGACTCTTCTCCCCATCCCAACTTCCCTTCCTCAGTCATGTGAGATTTGTGCCACTAGCACAAGTCCCTGAGAAGATGATGCCCAGAAAGTCACTCAGGTCAGCTCATCCTAAGGCCTTAACTCCCTGTGACTCTCTAGCAAACCAAAGCATCAATTATCCAGCTGCAGGCTGAGCCTGCTCTGTGTGGGAAAGTCACAGAAAGGCTTAGTGATGCATGTGCTATCAGACTTTGTTCCCCTTTGCTCCCTTCTCCTATGGCTGTGCCCCCACATTTCAAGCCTCACACCCAAACTTCCGTGCACTTCTTATGTGTTCATTTATAGTCAGATGCAACAGAGGACTCCAGGCCACATGATCCAGTGTTGCCTCTATGTGGAAGGAACCTGAGTCTTTCTTATTCACTTCCTACCCTGGGACTGTTTGAGTAACACACACACCCCTGCACCAAGTCAGTGATTCTTATGGCCATTTGCTGGAAGTCCAACTGTTCCCATACCCTGAGAATAGTTTCAAACAAGTGTGTGTGTGTGTGTGTGTGTGTATGTGTGTGTGTGTGTGTGTGTGTGTGTGTGTACTGTGAGTACCTTGTTTGCGTAGTAGGTTTAATAATGCGAAGCATACATTGTGTTCATGTCATTATTTAGCTTGTAAAACTGACTTCAATAAATAAATTTGTAATCATATTTCAAGTAAAATGAAGAAATTGGCTAAGCTATTTTAATCTTGTGTGTCAGAAAAATATTTTAAAAATGCCAAATTGTCAATGACAATATATTGGATATTACTCCTTCATGGTTGTGATCTAAGTTTTATACCTGGTATATATGATCATACTTTTGACACTTACCCTGTGAGTTCAAAGTAAGGTACTAAGTGTTATTCACACTTGTGTACTCACTTGTATTAAGAAGTAGCAAGACTTTCATACAGAGGAACTCCTCATGGGTCACTTGGAGCTTGACAAACTCCTGTGGGATTTGCCACATGGTAAGGCACAATGAATAGAATGATGACTCCTTCATCCTCTGTCTACACATAAAAGAAAACCAACACAAAAATAAAAAAAAATAGACTGTCAGCCAGGCAGTAATATAATTTGTCAGTGAACAATATTTCAGTAATTGTCTTTCCTGTTGTTGAATTTACTGATATTTTAAATAAGAAACCTTAATATTTAGCATTTTAAATGTTTCTAAACTTTTTAATAGGTTGGCACTAAATTTTTAAGGCAAAAAAATTAGACATAAAAATGACATTAAATACACCTTGATCAAAGTTAATATTGTTTCTTGCTTTTATTACCACACTTAAATACCTAAATCTAGTAAGAGCAATGTTGTAGGAATTGAGAATTTGAGCCAGAAAATGCTTTATTTACTGAAAATATGTGTATTTGTATGCATAAACATGATCTTGTTCACAAGTTAATGGACTGCTTTGGTTCATGAAAATTTATAACACTGTGACTTTTTCTAAGCGATGTGTGTGATAAAACACAAAAACAAATAGAAGAATGGTATTAAACATTAAATAATTGAAAAGGTCAACATAAGTTCTGAAGATGGAGGCCCCTTATCTGAGCTATTCTTCTAGCCATGTGCTATTTTGTGATGTCAACATTGGTCAGTGCAGCTAAAGGAACAGTGGGATGAAGACAAGATACCCACACTGATGATAAAGGGTAATCCTGGCCCCTCAGGTCTGTGCCAGGTTTTCCAGTTCTCCCGAGCCCCAGTTTCTTGAACTGGTAAGATGAAGGGTGCTGAGTCCTTGCCTATGTCAAAGGACTATGAGTTAAAGAGGAATAAATGAAGCATGTAGATTGTTAACTGTGAAGACATTAGACAGTGTCAGTTATTAATTTAGATGCTTACAACTTAACATTCACTATTAGAACAGTGTAAACAATACCATGGAAAAATTCTTTCCATTTGAAAACTATATGCAGAAAACTATTTAAATATAATAAATCAAATATAGTTATTTATAGAAGATTTTATGCTTAATTTTTAAAAGTAAATCAATAGTGTCTCCACAAGTACAAAAGTCAGAAAATTTAATTTGATATGATAAACATTTAAATTTATATTTAAATGTAAATATCACTAAGTTTTTGAAAAAATTAAAAATATTAGTTTAAGATAAAAATACATTTCAAGACAGGCGAAAAGGGTTCCAAATATCAAACTAGTAATACAAAGGATTTAACTAAAAATTTCAAACAAATAAACATAGATTAAAAACTTTTTGAAAAGGACTCCATATTCTCAGGAAATAATACCAAGTATTTGCAAATAGGACTGCATGAAATTAAGTTGATTCTATACAGCAAGGGAAAAGTTGAATAAAGAAAAAGCAAAAGAATAGGAGAAAACATTTGCAAACTACACATTTGACATAAGATTGATATAGAAATATGCAAAGATCATAAACTAAAAATCAAGAAATCAAATAACCAAATCAATAAATGAGCTAATGAAATGAACAGACAGTTCCCAAAAGATGGAGTACAAATGTCCAACAAACATATTACAAATGTTCAACCTTATGAGTCATCTAGGAAAAGTTAATTAAAGCTATATTGAGATTCCATCTTACCAGAGTCAGAATGGCAGTTAGAAAAATAACCCATGCTGATGAGGATGTGAGCAGAAGGGAACCCTTATACACTGCTGCTAGGAATATAAATTGGTCCAGCAGTTATGGAAATCAGTATAAAGGTGCCTTAAAAATTAAAAATAGATCTACCGATGACCCAGCTAAAACACTCCTGAATATCCACCCAAAGGCCTTCAAGTAAATGATTGTAGAGAACCTTTCATCAATGGTTATTGCTACAAAATTCACAGTAGCCAGGCCATAGATGGATAAAGAAACTCTCTCTCTCTGTGTGTGTGTGTGTGTGTGTGTGTGTATGTGTTTCATATAAACTTCATATCAACAATGGAATTTTATTCAGCTATGAAAGACAAAGCTATGTTATTTTTAGATAAACAGATACAACTAGACATCATATTAAGCAAATTAAATTGGACTTGGTAATACAAATACGTTTTCTCCTATTTGTGGATTCTAGATTGTATGCATACATTGTGTCTATGTATGTATGACACAATGACACAAAAGTAGAAGAAAACTGTCCAGAGACATGAAGAGAACTAGCAGGGGCAGTTGTGATGGAGGACAGTGTCAAAATGTATGTACTTATTGAAAAATGTCTTTATGAAACTCAGGACTATGTATAGTGAATACAGATGAGTAAGTGTTGGAGAGTACTGAGTAATGGCTCAGTTAATGATGGTCTCTGCTGCCAAGCCTGATAACCTGAATTCAATCCCTAGGATTTCCACAGGTTGTCTTTTGACTTCCATGCTGTGATGTAAGTGTCCCCACCCATACCCTCACAATACACAAGATAAATAAACAAATAAATACATAAACTATATACATCTATAGGTACATGAGTAAAGAAAGGTGACTTTATCAAACTAGGTAAATTCCAGGAAATTTTTGTTATTTAGGACACTGGATACAGCATCATCTATTGCAATGTAGTTTTCCAAATCATACTATGGACACCCCTATGATAATAACAAAAGCACCAAAAGTCACAACTTACTCATTTAGGATTAGATCAGGTGCAAAATATAGCATCTGCCCACTGACATGCTTGTAGGACCTCCACCCCAGGCCAAACACCATCAGACTCATCCAGGAGTACTGAATCAGGGTTATCTGGTCATCAATATGCAAGTTCCGGAAACCTACAAACATTTGGAAAAGAAACAATCACAGAAATCATGTGAACAACATTGAAAATCTGGAGGAAGTTGAAACAGGATACGGAGATGTTTCCATAAAGTCAGGAAACACTCATAAATAACACAGCCTAAAAAAGAGACAAGGCAGGGAGGGGGAGCTGCTTTACACAGCATGAACATCAGTCACTGTGGTTTAATGTTGGTGGGCATGGAATGGCTAACTGCATTAATCATCCATTCTGGGTTCATGCAGCACCATGTACTGAGACACATTTTCATGCCATATACTATGTTAAAATGATGGAAATCAATGCTAGGATCCATACATGGGTGAAAACACGTGGCATTTGTCTTTCACCATCTTCTTGACATGATATCTTGTCCTCATGAACCCGAGCAGCTACAGTGCCTGCATAAGATCTGTATAAGGTCTGTACAAGATCAAGCCAGTAGGCATTCCAGCATGGAGAGGGACAGACTCAGAAGTTCCACCCTTTGCTGAGGACCTATAGAAAACTGATAGATTCTCAGGGAGGGAAAGCCAGTTTTCATTAAGGATGTGGCCTCTGGTAGGTCAACCAGACTCCAGTGAATGGCCCCATACCATTACATAAATATATGAACAGCACAATTTTGACCCAGTGAGTTATTAATGGAAAGGAAAGAAAATTAGGAAGTGGGAGTGAGTTTGCGTCAGTTGCATCAGTGAAACACTTAAAGAAGAAAATATAAGACACTTGTTTTGCCTATGTCCTTCAGTAGTTTTCCCCAAATCTGAAATAAAGGCAAAGAAACAATTAGGCTAAAAGTGCCAAATTAGACATACTTGAGGGCCCTCAAGAATACTGATTGCAGTTGAGTATATAGACTTGAAGCCTGGGAAGACTAGCGGAAGAATATGAATGTGAACCTCACTGCAACTTACAACAGCTGAGTAATGAAATTGGTTTTAATATTTTAAGATTAAATAAAAATAAATACTTTCATGTGACCATGAAGCCCTTTCCATGAAGCTCTTTGAAAACCATTTCCTTAAAACTCCACTAACATCTATTTACAAATGACCTAACTCAGAAATAAAACAAGTTCAACATTTAATCCATTAGCTATTGAGGGAGAAGGTATTTCTTTCTCTTTTAGACACTCAGAATCTCTACACATGTTCCCAGTGGTCCCATAGTCATGGGGATAGTTGAGGTAGAGAGTCAGCTTCTCTGCACATGCTCCTGATGGCTTCATCACCATGGGGATAGTTGAGGTAGGCACTCAGGTTCTCTGCACATGTTCTTTTTTTCCCCCATTTTAAAAATTTGAATTAGAAACAAGATTGTTTTACATGTCAATCTCAGTTCCCTCTCCCTCCCCTCCTCCCCTACCACACACCCCCAGCAACTAAAACCCTACCTATTACATATCCTTTCTGCTTCCCAGGGAGGGTGAGGCCTTCCATAGGGTGTCATCAGTATCTATCATGTCCTTTGAGGTAGGGCCTAAGCCCACACCCGTGTGTCTTGGCTCAGGGAGTATCCCTCTATGTGGAATGGGCTCCCAAAGTCCACACCTATGCTAGGGATAAGTACTGAACTACTACAGGAGGTCCTGTAGATTTCCGAGGTCTCCTCACTGACACCCATGTTCCTGGGGTCTGGATCAGTCCCATGCTGGTTTCCCAGTTATCAGTCTGGGGACCAAGAGCTCCCTGTTGTTCATGTCAGTTGTTTCTGTGGTTTCACCAGCCTCTTTGCTTATCACTTGTCCTTCTCTGCATCTGGATTCCAGTTCAGTTCAGTGATTAGTTGTGGGTGTTGGCTTCTACTTCCACCAGCTGCTGGATGATGGCTATCGGGTGGCATATAAATCAGTCATCAATCTCATTATCAGGGGAGAGCATTTATGGTGCCCTCTTCTCTGTTGCTTAGCTGTTGTCATCTTTGTAAATCTCCAGACATTTCCCTAATGCCTGATTTCTCTGTAAACCTAAAATGTCTCCCTCTATTATGATATCTCATTTCTTGTTTTCTTCTATTCTCCCCTGGACTCAAACTTTCTGCTCCCTCATGTCCAGCAGTGGAGAAGACTTCTCCTTTCTCCACATCCTCTCCAGCATAAACTGTCATTGGTGTTTTTTATTTTAGCCATTCTGACAGGAGTAAGATGGTATCTCAGAGTTGTTTTGATTTGCATTTCCCTGATGGCTAAGGATGTTGAACACTTTATGTGTCTTTCAGCCCTTTTAGATTCCTCTATTGAGAATTGCCTATTTAATTCTGTACCCCACTTTTTAATTGGATTGTTTGGTGTTTTGGAGACTAGCTTCTTGACTTCTTTGTATATTTTGGAGATCAGCTCTCTGTATGATGTGGGGATGGTGCATATCTTTTCCCAGTCTGTGGGCTGCTATTTTGTCTTTCTGACTGTGTCTTTTGCTTTACAGAAGCTTCTCAGTTTCAGGAGGTTCCATTTATCTATTGTTGATCTCAGTGTCTGTGCTACTGGTGTAATGTTTAGGAAGCAGTCTCCGGTACCAATTAATTCAAGGATATTTCCCACTTTGTCTCATAATAGTTTCAGTATGGTTGGATTTATGTTGCAGTCTTTGATCCATTTGGACTTAAATTTTATGCATGATGAAAGACATGGATCTATCTGCAGCCTTCTACATGCTAGCATCCAGTTATGCCAGCTCAATTTGTTGAAGATGCTTTCTTTATTCCATTGTATAGCTTTAGCTGCTTTGTCAAAAATCAGGTGTTCATAGGCATGTGGGTTAATATCAGGGTTTTCAACTCAATTTCATTGGTCTACCTGTCTATTTTTTGTGCCAATACCAAGCTGTTTTCAGGACTATAGCTCTGTAACAGAGTTTGAAGTCAGGGATGGTGATACCTCCAGAGGTTCCTTTATTGTATGGGCTTGTTTGGGCTATCCTGGGTCTCAACAAGTTGAGAATTGTTCTTTCAAGGTCTGTGGAGAATTGTGCTGGGATTTTGATGGGGATTGCACTGAATCTGTAGATTGATTTTGGCAAGATTGCCATTTTTACTATGCTGATCCTACCTACCCAAGAACATGAGAGATCCTTCCATTTTCTACTATCTTCTTTAATTTTTTTCTTTAGAGACTCAAAATTCTTACAGTACAGGTCTTTCACTTTTTTGGTTAGTGTTACCCCAAGGTATTTTATGTTGTTTGTGGCAATTGTCAAGGGTGGTGTTTCTCTGATTTCTTTCTCCACGAATGTATCATCTGTATATAGTAGGGCTACAGATTTTTTTGAATTAATCTTGTATCCTGCCACTTTCTGCACATGTTCTTGATGGCTCTATCACCATGGGAATAGTTGAGGTAGACAGTCAGGTTCTCTGCACATGCTCCTGATGGCTCCATCACCATAATGAAGCAGACACTCAAGTTCTCTGCGGATGCTCTTGATGGCTCCATTGCCATGGGGTCCCTTTAGGTAGACACTCAGGTTCTCTGCACATGATTTCTATGGTCCTATCACCAGGGGACAGCTGAGGGATGGCACTTGTCTTAGCATTCCTTAGTCTCCTTCAAGATGAAAACTCAAATGTGCCCCCTAACCACCATATTCCAGCAACCTCCTGCTTTTTTTTGATGCGCATCTTCAATGTCGAATCATTTTGCTTCTCATTATTCCTTTGTCTCTGCTTGACTATTGAGTTCCTCTGTTTGGAATCTGGTAAAAGTAAATGCTGCTACTGGGGAAAATGGATAAAATCCCTGCTTCCCTCTGCATTGTGCTTGGTGTGATCTGTAAAGCACACACTACCAGGATTTTTAATCTGAATCAGCAATGACAGGGTGTGGTTATTTACTGTGAATGTAGTAGAGGATGCTGATGAGGTCAAGCGATGCATCTGTGACACCAGTTCATTGTCCCATCACTGTTGTCTCAGTTTGTGCCTTATTCCACCTCAGTTGAGTGCATCCCTGGTGCCCTCCAGAGGTTGTTTTCCTTCATTCCTTATTTGAGATCCAAAGGTTTTTCTTTTCCTAATCTTCCTTCCTTCCTTCCTTCCTTCCTTCCTTCCTTCCTTCCTTCCTTCCTTCTCTCCTTTCATTTTTACCAATTAGAATAGTTTGTTTTCCTGTGTTTTGATTGTGTTAACATTCACAAATCTAATTTACTTTATGGCAGAAAGACTCCATCCAGCCAAGAAAAAATATGGCATATGCTTTTCATAATTTCTTATTTTCATAAGACTTAACTACTTCTTCAAGTGCATATGGTATGTTATACCAGAAAAAGTGTGAATTTAACACAACATATCTAGAGCATAAGTATTGCTTGTCATTGACTCTTCAGCAAATTGGATAATTATTTGATAAATTTCAGAATCAATTGATAAGAGACATTAATTCCTTTATTTGCTTTTTTTTTTTTACCATGAAGACTCCTAAAAGGAGTCACATTTAGAGCTATGTGTAGGTGTAACTTCAAAGCCTCTGCAGAAAGGTCTAAGCTTCACTACTGACTCTAGCAATGTAAATACTACATTGAACAAGTTAGACCATAAAGATAAAGATACTAATTCAACCAGTTGCTAAAGATTCAGGATAACTGTGAGTTTTGTTGAGGAATCTGCAAATATTTATTAATTCATCAATGGATCCTGCAACAGACTTTTCATTGGATTAATGACTATAGGAAAGCCACTAATCATTTTGAGGAGAAATCTCCAATTAAAACAAATTAACCATACATAGTAAACTCAGCTCTGAGAAGCTAGGGGCAGGAGGATTAAGAGTTCAAGTTTATCCTTGGCTACAGAGTAAGTTATAGGTCACTGGCTGTGTGAGAACCTGTGCGCGCGCACACACACACACACACATATATGTGTGTGTGTGTGTACCTATATGAAAGAAAAAGTGCCCTAAAATAAAATAAGATCAAAATGATAAGCCAGAAAGCATTTCCTGTATGTTAAAGAAAACATAAATATAATTAAAATGTAAATGCTGCAAATGGCAATAAATTT